TTCACAAGCTCCTCTTGTTACTCTTCCCGATATCTACACCCAAGGAGATTTTCAGATCCTGGTCGTAAACAATCAATATTCTCTCAATATTACACCATAGAACGGCAATAGAGATTGAGGTAAACACCAACAAAAGAAATCGTTTTGTTCTGCAAAGTAAGACCCAGAAGCTTAAAACTTTTAAAAAACATAATTTTTTTTTAAACAAAAAAATAATAATTTAAAAACGCGTGTCAAAACCTGAGAAGTATTAACCTGCTAAACAGGTTGATTTGGACTCAATTGAATAATTTTACCAGACTCAAAGTTACGTTGATATATATTCTATATGTCAGTCTCAAAACCTATTTTGAATACAAAAGTATATGTATGTAGTTTTACGAGTTGGAGTGGAATTTACTTAACCTTCACTACTACAAAACACACTTACCACGGCGGTTATTTTTATAAATACATGGCGGTTCTTGAAGTGCCGTGTAAGTGACCGCCTTTGTAAATAAAAACTTTCTACGGCGGTTATTTGAACCGCCGTGTATACTTCTAAAACACGGCGGTTGCTAACTGCCGTCTAATCTCACGATATATGTCGTGTAATCTCAACAATTATATGTATAGACGGTGCTTTTCTTGAGGAACCGCCGTTTATTCATATGTATAGACGGCGGTTGTCTATACATATGAATAGACGGCGGTTTAATGTAAGAACCGCCGTCAATACATATGAATAGACAGCGGTTCAATGTAAGAACCGCCGTCTATACATATGTATAGACGGCGGTTGTCTTGAGGAACCGCCGTCTATACATATATTTTTCACCTTAAAAGAAAATAAAATAAAATTACATTATATAGTTATGTATTTTTTGTTTGAAACTACATCAGGCTCGTTAAGATTGGATGGCTCATAGGGTCACTTGGTTCATCTCACTCAGGACCCTGTAATCCTGTTCCGGTGGTGCCCTGGAATCAGACTTCCCGGGGGCTTAGGGTTCAGGGTGGTTCAAGGCCCTGAGCCTAGGGTGCAGTGTAAGGCCCAAGATCATTTTTATCAACAATTTTCCAACCCACGCTTGGGATGGGAATCAATCCCAGGCCTGCCTTTTTGAAGGCCCATACCGAATACCATCAGACCACAAGGGAGATGGTTAATTATGCTATGTAGGAACATAATATACGTGCATATGTATATAATTAGAAAATACTAGGTTTTCTTGGATTAAGAAACTATTAAGCTTAATGAATAATATTGATTTAGGAAAATTTAATAAAATTACTCGTATGCACATACGGTCCTCGTACAATGCCCAAAAAAAAATGGAGTATCACACCTTTACACGGCGACCGCCGTCTATTAAGTGACGTAAATATATATTAGAAGGCGGTTATTTAAGAACCGCCATCTATTAAGTGACGTAAATATATATTAGAAGGCGGTTATTTAAAACCGTCGTCTATTAAGTGACGTAAATATATATTAGAAGTCGGTTATTTACAACCGCCGTCTATTAAGTGACGTAAATATATATTAGAAGGCGGTTATTTACAACCGTCGTCTATTAAGTGACGTAAATATAAATTAGACGGCGGTTATTTAAGAACCGTCGTCTATTAATTGACGTAAATATATATTAGACGGCGGTTATTTAAAACCGCCGTCTATTCAGTGGCGTAAATATATATTAGAAGACAGTTATTTAAAACCGCCGTCTATTAAGTGACGTAAATATATATTAGAAGGCGGTTATTTACAACCGCCCGTCTATTAAGTGACGTAAATATATATTAGACGGCGGTTATTTAAGAACCGCCGTCTATTAATTGACGTAAATATATATTAGACGGCGGTTTTAATCTATTAAGTGGCATAAATATATATTAGAAGGCGGTTATTTAAAACCGCCGTCTATTAAGTGACGTAAATATATATTAGAAGGCGATTATTTAACAACCGCCGTCTATTAAGTGACGCCGTATATAATAGACGGCGGTTATTTAAAGACCGCCGTCTATTAAGTGTCGTAGTATATAGTAGAAGGCGGTTATTTAAAGACCGCCGTCTATTATGTGCCGTAGTATATAATAGAAGGCGGTTATTTAGAAAACCGACGTCTATTATGTGCCGTAGTATAACAAAATATAATAGAAGGCGGTTATTTAAAAAACCACCTTCTATTAAGCGACGTAGTATATCATTTCTGTAGTAGTGCTTATTCACTAATTTTGTAAAGTATGTTTTCAGGATCTGGATCTTGTGGCTAGTTGAGAGCGTGGCGTAGAACTAGTATCCCGAGTTGTTCATGGTATAATAATGATTTAGATTAGATCTTGAGATTTTGTATAAATGGTTTGTAATTGGATTTGTAGATAAAACATTTGCAGCCTGTGCACTTAGGTTTAGTATGGCCTAAATATGGCATAACACCCATTTTGAGTTTAAAGTTTGAATTCACTTTTGCATTTCAATTCAGTCTTTTAAATAAGAAAATGATGTCTATTTTTGGTATTTCGATTTTGAAAATTGGGAGTGTTACAATGTATCTTGTGCTATGCGTTTCTGTGTCTCATGTTATACAATTTTGTACCTTAAGCGTATGGGTTCTGTACATGAAATAAGGTAAATATAACATGCACTTTTGTGTCCTGTGCTATGCGTTTTTGTGTCTTATGTTATGCGTTTGTGTGTTATGTTATGCAATTTTGTACCTTAAGAATATTGATTCTGTATCTGAACTAAAGTGAATATAAAACATGTAGTGTATGTGTCTTGTGCTATGCGTTTCTATGTCCCATGTTTTGCAATTATGTACCTTAAACATATGAATTCTGTACATGAAATAGATGAGTAGTTGTGTAACACACAACACATTGTGTCTTATTTTACAAATTTGTCTTGTATTATGAAATTATGTGCATATATGACATATATTATCTACATAAATCATATTTGAGAATAAGTAAATATAAAACATATGTATGTGTCTTGTGTTATCAAATTATGTACTTTAAGAGTATTGACTTTGTATCCAGAATAAATTAAAAATTGTATTGAAACATGATAAACGAAAAACTACAGAATCGGTTAAAATTAAAATATCAAAACGATGTCGTTTTGATTCAAAATCCACAATGCTATGTGGATCCTGGTCCACGATATAAACTGCCTATATATGCTTCCTCGGTTTCATTCTTGGATTAGTGTTGTTATTTTTTCTGTTATGATTTATAAAAATAGCTATTGGTAGAAATTGTACCATTTTTCCAAAAAAAAAAAAAAAAAAAAAAAAAAACTCTTGCTTTATGACAACACCAAACTTGTCCTGAATTGATATAGGATTATAGGGTACATGTTGGTCACTTACTCACTTGGTCCTGATCTTCCCTTGGGGACAAAAAATGTTGACCATGAACTACCTTTACTTAATACGTTATATATGAATATCAAATTGTGACCTAGTAAAATCACATAGGTTTAAATCAAAATATTTTAATTTCTATTACTTGGCAGAAAATTTGACTTCAACCATAACCACTTAACCACATCTACTTAATACAATAAGATTGACCTAAATAAAAATCTCCGATTTAATTGATAACTATATTGAGCATCCATCAAAATTCAAAAGTAATAAGACACCATTTAAAAGGACTAACAGCACGTTTGGTTCACGGAATGAATTTGGAGGGAATATGAATGATATTCCACATGGAATGGAATAGGTAAGGAATAGAATATGAATTGTATTCTGTTGTTTGGTTTGCTGAAGGAATAGACTTTAGTAATTGTATTCCAGTGTTTGGTTGGTTAAAGTAATAGAAATGGAATAGGTTTTAAAGACATAAATACCCTTATACATAATAATAATAATAATAATAATAATAATAATAATAATAATAATAATAATAATAATAATGAATATGATTATGATATACTGTTATATATATATATATATATATATATATATATATATATATATATATATATATATATATATATATATATTTATATACATGTATATGTATGTGTGTGTGTGAGAGAGAATAACAATAACAATAATAATAATAATAATAATAATAATAATAATAATAATAATAATAATAATTATTATTATTATTATTATTATTATTATTATTATTATTATTATACAAATACATATTTATTTTTATATGTATTTTCTCACTTATCCCACATCGGTTGGAGAAGTAAGGAATAGAGCCTTGATGCTCCTATAAAAGGAGTCTTAAGGCTCCATAATTTCAATTGCAATGCTCATCCGCTAGGCAAGCTTGCAATGCCCATCCGCTAGGCAAGCTTGCAATGCCCATCCGCTAGGCAAGCTTGCAATGCCCATCCGCTAGGCATGCAGATGAGCAGACTACTTAATTTAGGAGCCAAGACTCCATAATTAAGGAGTCTTATACAGTTATTTTTTTTATTTTTTTATTTTACATATATTTACATATATATATATATATATATATATATATATATATATATATAAAATAAACTGTCACGGCCGGTGTTTTGAGAAATTACTTTTTTTTTCTCAAAATGCCAATTACAAACGCTACAAAATGTGTGTGTGTGTATATACAATTTATTTAAATATATATATATATATATATATATATATATATATATATATATATATATATATATATATAGATTGATGGATAAAAATTATAATTAATTAAATATATACATTTATTTAATACACTATATTTATTAAATATATATAAATATTATATAATGTGCAAAGGGTATTTTTGGTATTTGTGATATAAAAGCTATTCCCAAGGGCATGGGAATAGCTAATACCAAGGCCCCCCTAGGAATGACTATTCCCCTTGCGAAGGTAATAGCTCATTCCTAGGCATGCTATTCCCATGACAAAATGATCCAACCAAACGATGGAATAGGTCTATTCCAAGGAATGCTATTTCATTCCTGACCTATTCCATGAACCAAACGTGCCATAATAGTAAAGTAGTAATAATAGCTCAATAACTCATCAATATTATTTATTATTTAATCATCATTAAATTGAAAGTACAGAAATCATACAAAAGCCGCAAATTAAAGTAGGAAGGTGGATTATCAGGGAAAAGAAAAAGCATATATGGAGGAAATCAATCAGATCCAGTAATGGCCAAACTCAAATCAACTCAAAATGTTCATTCCGACTTTGCAACTAAAGTGAGCAGCAGTTCCTTATAGCTGCCATTGGCAACTTCTCCAATCCTGTCCGACAGAGCAACTCCGTACTTGGTCTTAAATTCTTGTTTGATGTGTTTCATGTCCTCATCTGCTCGGGTAACAATCACCCGAGTCACCGAATCTCTAGCCGCCTCGTCCACCCCCAGTCTCAACGACGCATCCAAAATCTGTATATAAAAATCTGATAGTGAGACTACACGTTTATATATATTTCATATATTATATGTTCGACAGTTGTATCTATCTCACCTTGCTGAAATACAGTTGTGGCATGCAAAGGCATTGCACGGTTTGCTTCAAAAGCAAGTGAGCATGAAGATCCTGCAGACAGTGAGACAGAGGAATGATGAAGCAAGTGCAAACGTTGTTGGTTTTGTGTGTTTGTTTGTTTGTTTGTTTAATCAATGTTGTCATGTTGAAGTTGTGTGTTATGATCACTGTTGCAAAAGTCGGTTAAGGCGGCTGCCTAGGTGCCCTTAGACTGAGGAGATTTTACCCTTAGGCGGATATTAGTCGGTCTGCTGACAAGGTAGTTTAGACGCTGGAGTCTGCGAATTCGGCGCCTGGGTTAGCCAACTAGGAGCCCGAGTCGGTCAACTCGGCCCCCAACTTGGCCTAGTTTTTTATTTTTTTTATTTTTTTTTAGGTGTGCAATGTGTACACTGATGTTTTTTTCTTACTATTATCACTGGCCCGCCTAGGCGGCGCCCGACTAGGGCCTAACACTTTCTACAACATTGGTTATGGTACCTCATCCAAGAATTTGCCAGTGATTTCCTTGTAATGTTTGTACAGTGCCAAGAGATGCAACTTGCTTCTTGTTGACAGTATTCTCACAATCTCCTCATCATCAACAAGATTCTTGTTACCAGCATGTTTTATGGCATTAGCCAGCACCTTAGCCTCAGACTTCGCGACGTCTTCGTGTACCTTTGGTCCCTCGTAGCGATACGAGCTCACAAGTGCAACCAGAAGCTGTTAATGCATAAACCAGAACTGATTAATTGTTACCAAAACACAAATCAATCCCAAACCAGAACTGAAATTGACACACACAAACCTAGTACTAGTACTAGTACTAAACAATGTCTGTGTCAGATCAGACAATTAATACCTTTCTTTCAGGGGTTTGGATGTGGAAGGCTATATCTTCCTCAATAGAGTGATCAAACAGGGAATGATAGGCTCTTCTGGCTCCCAAGAGCTCCTCGGACGGCCTAGTGCAGGCCGTCTCTATAAGCAAATCGAATTGAGGTTCTTTCAGCAATGCTTCCTTGAATAAGCGTGCATCGCGTTCCCAGGGATGCATCATGTATAGCACCACTGCATCCTGAAATCATCAATCAATAACATAACTAACAAGAAACACAGGCAGACAAAGTACTAAGTCAAAAGCTAAGATGGTCTTGTTTACTAAGGATCCAACATTATTAGTGTGCAGTGGTTTGATTTGCAGAAATTTACTGCCAAATTTGATGCATATGCTGATAGAAGAAATGCCCTGAACTCAATGCACAAGATGATGACTAGTGGTAACATGTTTCGATTTCTGCAACTGCAAGAAAAATCTTTGTATCCTAATCTAGCTGAAACTTATGAATTCACATTTTGTTAGGGTAAGCACTTCCCACTACACCAAAAGCTATAGCTTATAGCAAATGCCTAATTTTATTTTCTTATACCTCCACACATTTCCAAAAGCCAGGGTGCTAGACTTGCCATTTATGGCCTCCGGCCAACAATCCCTCTAGTTACATGGTACTGGATTCACTGTTGCAAAAATTAACTTACACGATCGCCTAGACACCCCTAAACTGTGGCGATTTTCCCCCTAGGCGGCCGTCTAAGTGCCTAACTCGACTGAGTCGGCCACCTAGGCGCCTAAGTTGGTTGAGTTGGCGGCGAACTCGGCCGACTCGACCTTGTTATTTTTTTTCATTTTATATATATACTAGTATTTTTTATGCGCGATGGCGCAAAAAACATGTGCTAAATATTAATAATTTATATTAAAATTTTAAATTTATTTAGATTTTAGATATTTAAATGATTGTAAATAATAATAATAACAATAATAATAATACATTTTTAAAATTTTGATATTTATGTTTTAAGAGATAACTAACATATAACTTCAATATATAATGTGTATATATTATTATTATTATTATTATTATTATTATTATTATTATTATTATTATTATTATTATTATTGAAGGATATAAGAAAATATATGGTCGCCTAAAACTTGCAGATCAGACATAACAACTACGGAATTCACATTCTGGCATAAGAACAAACAACTTGTGGGCTAGATTTACGCACAACCTTAAATTTTTTAAGCTAGAAAACCCAGTACCTTGAGACGCAAGAACTCTTGTCGGAGTTGAAGGACATGATGATCATCCCACCTCTCGAACTGCCTTTCATCATCCCTGAAGAATTGATGAGTGCTCTTCCTGTAGGATTGCCTGTGCTTCGGATTCCATTTCGCCAGCACCGACACAAACGCCTTCTCATCCACACCCAGCCCTGAAACACCACAGACAAGTAGACAACCTCGGATTATAAACAATGATACAATTTTCCATTCTCAAAGGAACAACCTCGGATCATAATCGAGGATGATAAGCTTAGAAAAGAAAACGAAATCCACCTGAGAAAGCTTTTGTGAGAATTTTATGGTCATCTGAGACAGCCATTTTTGAACTGTTGGCGGAGTTTAGAGTGGGGGCAGTCATAGATACAGACATATATGGCTGTCGGGAATGCCTTTGTGGGGAGAGACATTCAAAGCCCCGCTATATTTATACAATCATGCTAAGGGTATTCCCGTCATTTGACTCGCTATAATTAACAACACCGTTTTTTTAAAACGATGGAATGACTGTAATAGCCCTATGGAAACCGAAACTGACACCTGCGTCCTCTTTCAATGAATTTAATGAAGTTCGGTGTATATAATTTCTTTTTTTTTTTTTTCTTCCTTAATGAACTGGAAAAAGGGAATGTTTAATTAAATGAAAATTATGCCAGTTTATGTTTATAAGTAATATATGCTTTTCATTTTTCATTATTTATAATTAATTCTCTTTTTGAAACCGTAATTAATGATGATATTGTATGTAACATATTGTAATTATATCTAACATTGTTCTTTTTTTCCTTTTTATTTTATAACCCAGGTTTTCTATCCCATGAAAAATTGAAAATTATCATGTGTGGATGTCTTGAAGGGATTTTCCTTAATAAAATCTTTATATATATATATATATATATATATATATATATATATATATATATATATATATATATATATATATATATATATATATATATATATATATATATATATATATATGCATGATTCATCTATAGTTGACATCAATAATATAATGATTCTATTAATTAATTAATTAATTTCTTCATATCCAAATTTGATTTTATGTATTTTACAAATTGTATCTATAAATAAATAATTTATAACAGCTGGACTAGTGATTACATTGTATTTTTTAAAAGAAAATATTAAAGTACAAGATCGTCTATTTAGCTAGTGAATGCCAACCAGTAAAGTTTCCATGTGGTCGTTCCAAGGTTTTGGTTTTTGTCGATGTCTTTTCTTGGGTTTCTTTGATTTTTGTATGAACACGTTTTCATACATTTTTAGTACAATTGAAAAATATTAATTCTAGATAATTTTCATTTTGGACCTTTTTATTTCACTAAATAATCCTCTTTCAAGTAGTTCTTTCTCGACATAATTAACTGATACTCCCATTAAGTGAATAATTAATCCTGATAGGAGAAGAACCTGGCTAGTAAAGTTTCATAATAAAATCTGTGAAATTATAGGATTAATGGTCCTTCAAGTATTGTGCTTTTACCAGCAAACATTTTTTGAGTATAAAATAACCAGCAAACGTCCTCCGAGTATCAAAAGTGACCAATAAATGTCCTCCGAGTATAAAAATATGACCATATGTGGTCTTCCGTTAACAAAGACATGAATGTGGTGTTACATTTACGACTCACTCAATTTACCCTTCAATTTAATGCCACTTTCACATATTTGCTAACGGAAAACTACGGGTGGTCACTTTTTTATACTCGAAAGATGTTTGCTGGTCATTTTATACTGGAATGACGTTTGATGGTAAAAGCACAATACTCGAGGAACCATTGGAGATATTAACTCATAATTATTATATTATGAAGTGAATTGTAAAGACATTCGATATCAAATGGGAATTACAAAGCAGGTTCCACCAGTTTTGAGAGAATTAAAGGGAATAAATGTGTCGATTTTCTAGCTAATCTTGATCAAACTAACAGTTTGAAGATTGTTGAGATTGATCAATCTTCAGATAATTTGAAGAACCTTCTCCTTCTTGATGCTATTATTATTGCCACTTTGTCACAGATGATAAAATTGTAAGGGCCACCTTTTAGGTCTCTCGGGGGCACCCACAAATATATATATATATATATATATATATATATATATATATATATATATATTAAGTAGACGTATGAATGCATTGGAGGTCATATTTGTTAGCAGTTGATATTATAATTGTAATAAATTATAGGGAAAACAACACTGTACTTTTGGTCCTTGAATTATTTCACTTTTAAAAGTTTAGTCTCTATTAATTGATTTGGACATATTTAATCCCTTAATTGTTGATTATGTTCTCTGTTATCATATAATTATCAAATTCCGCTAGCAAACTCTTTTTTATGAGGTTAATTTTTCATTTTGAATCAATATCAATGGTCAAAGTTTTACTCTCTATTGGAACATTATTTGTAATAGTGAATATTAAGTCTAAATAAATAAAATAAAATAAAATAAACCCATATATGTTAATGAAGTTTGACATTATATAACATTAGGAGTTATAAGTGCATTTTAAACAATTGAGACTTTGAGAGGTTAAATTTGTGTAAATATATTTACAATGATCAAAATTTTAAAATCGAAACAATTCAGAAGCTAAAATTGTTATTTTTCCTAAATTACATACTCACCATTTCAATAAAATAACATTGAAAATTCTAAAATGATGAAAAAAAGATTGTATTTTGATAATACTAATTAGATCCAAACAAAAAGGCTAGGATAGCATGGAACAAAAATATCTCACATTTTATTTTTTGGCGAATAGTAAATACTATTGTAAAAATTCTCTCTATGATTTTTGTTCATACTTCAAACGTTACAACCAATTCAAGCTTTATCCTAAAAGGTTTAATCCACAATCTCAATGACCCCCTCACAATCTGATTTGACAAAGTATTTGAGATGATGTAAATTATAGTGACTCAATGGTTCAGCAGACATAATCAAATGCCGATGCGTACAAAAAATCTGTCCATTTTAGACATAATTTCAACACTGTCGATGTCAAAATTCAAGCATTGATCTATTTTTCTAAATACTGTCTACTTAATCGGTGAACTAGTCTGTACGGACTCAACTAATTCAAGCTGTCATTATGGGTCCCTGTCATGATGTTAGAAGATAAGAATAGCAATATGAAAATTAAAGCCAGACAAGAAAATGACGGGACATCTCTATTAAATTAACCACGTTTTTCATGTCTACGGCTTTATTTATTACGGAGTACTTAAATAACAAGAAAAATATGATTTTATTTATTAAAATAAAAGATAAAGTTCTTGTAGTTTAATCAATCTCTTCAACGTGGCATTGCATGTAAATTGATGCTCTGATCTCGTACGTGAAGATCGTGGCAAAGTTTGTTTAATGAATCTATTGCATGTTATCGTTTACTTTTGAACTATAATTATTGTTTTATAGTCCTAATTTACAATATAGTATATCTTAAGTAATATTTAACTAAAATTTTTGATTGTTTAATGTCACAAAACACAGGTGTTGATTTGATATCTTAAAAACAATTAAAAGAAATATTTTAGATTAATAAATTCTTTATCTAATTTAATAGAGTTCAATTCTCTGGTCCCTACCTCAGCGAGAATGATGCCCTTGATTTTTCTTTTTTCTTTTTAAATATAATTGTTGTTGTTGTTATTGTTATATTATTATTATTATTATTATTATTATTATTATTATTATTATTATTATTATTATTATTATTATTATTATTATTATTATTATTATTATTATTATTATTATTATTATTATTATTATTATTAATTTTTTTATGGTATTTGAATATGGGATTGGATGTGTTGATATTTTGTAATTGTGTATTTGTGTTCTTATTTGCTTGAATATTATTTGCATTTATAATTTCTATTTTAGTTGTCATTGAGGATTCAATGAAATTTTAATTATTTTAAAATTAAGAACTTAATATTTAATTTTTTTTCATTACTAGAGTATTAAAAATATATCAGTTTGACTAGAGGTTGATGAGAATAAATATTTTTTGTCATAAAAATATATCGTAGGATAAAATAGGGTCACAAGAAAAATTTATTATTTATTATTTTTATTTTTTTGTGAGGAGGGAATAGGCTGGTGAGGTTTCGAGAACGGGGTTAATTAGAGATTAGATTAGTATTGTCTTGAAATCATATGATATATAATGATTTTTAATTTTTTTGAAGATGTCATAATCTATTATTAAATAATAGCAATTTATTTGTGTTCACGTCCTTGATTTGAAAAAGAAGATATTTTTTTCATCTGGTCAAGATAAAGCACGTCTTAATCATTTAATCAACATCATATTAATCTAGGTCCAAATGATTTAAACTTGGACTATTCCTATCATCATATGTTTCTTTCATTTTTTTTTAAAACAAAGCTGTTGAGTGTGAATACGCTGTGTGATATGATAGACTTGACATGCTTTGTCTAAATCTTATCCTTAACAGTATGAGGCTGTATAGTATATATAATTTGACTCTTTTTACTTATTTTTTTAAATACTTTTTTTTATACTTTTTTATACTTATTATGTTCTCGCTTTGTTATATATGGGTAATAAGTTGACTCGTTTTTACTTATTATGTCTTTCACTTTGTTACAAGTAAAAGGAGAAAAGTGATATTTGTACACATGCATCATACCCTACAATTGTCTAGTATAATTTTTTTTTTTAAATATTAACTGAAATAAAAATTGACTGTTTAATGATCATATATGAAAAATTAAATTCATACTCTTAAATCATTATATTTACTTTATTAATAAAGAAATAGAGACAAACGTTTTGTAGGTTGGGATTTGTTGGTCTCATTTTCCCTTGGTTTTATGCATGCCGTACACAAGTTACCTTTTTAAAGTTGCTTTTCACTACCTAATATTTAAAGTTACTCTCAGATTATATTCCCAATTTGTATTTTCTCACTCAAAATTTTGATAATATTTTCATTGTAATTCATATGATGAAGATAACTTATCATTTATTGTCACATCATGAGGTGAAAATTAGGAGTACGTTTATGTAGCAGAATTCAGAGCAATCCAAAGTTAGGTTGGTCAAAGTGTCAAACAATTGGTTTGATAACTACATGGTTTTAAACTTGACTTCTAGTATTGTTTATTGTCATTTTTAATTTGAGCTGATCAATTATAGACACATTAGATTAATTTATCTCTTTATGATCATTACTGACTAAAGTTACAAACTAAGTTTTATATAAAGTACATTTTTAAATATCAGTAGGAGGTTGTCGAATTTTTTCGTAAATTAAAAGAATTTGGTAGCTAACTGGTCGGAAACGCGAAACTAACCTGTGTCCTTAAAAATTATAATTAGGAGTTACTTTAGGTGT